GTGTGTGTGTGTGTGTGTGTGTGTGTGTGTGTGTGTGTGTGTGTGTGTGTGTGTGTGTGTGTGTGTGTGTGCGTCGGTTTCCTTGTCCCCAGAACTGCGAGTCGGTTCCCGCTTGTCGATACCCATGCGGTACTTGTTGTAGACGACTTCATTCCCAGAACTCCGAGTTAGTTCGCACTTTCCTGAAGATAAACCACCTCTTCCTCGTTTCTAGGACAGCGAGTTCGTTCGCACTCTTTCCGAGGAGTTGTTGTCTTCCCTCCGAACTCACTCTGCCAGAGGAGTGTTGTCTTTCTTCCCCTTCACCCAATTGTTGTGACTTCGTGTGCATTTCAAACACCCATCTCTTACGTCGTTTCCGTCCTCCATTTCGACAAGTCTGAGTTAGTTCGCACTTTGCTTCTGTAGTGTTAGAAAAACCTCGTTGCTTTCCTCCCGGTCATTCGATGTGGTCTGAGGTTGGGCGTATTAGTCAACGGGTGGGAGTACAATGGCGTCCGCTGAGAACACATCCACAAGAGGGACGACCTCTTCAGCAATCTACTCCTCCGTATGTCCATACAAGGGATGCACAATGGTTTTTGGACTTCGTTGTTTAGGGGAACCTTGTTGGGCCAGCTGTTTTCATGCGACCCACTTGCGTTCCAGACGCTGAGGGAGCGGACAACGTTCTTCCTCTCGGTACCATCATCTCGTTCTTTAAGATTCTGGAGGCTTGCTTAAGCTGCACACTAACGTCTTGTACGACCAGTGCAGACTGCCTTACAGAGGTGTTAAGGGTGTGATAGTGCCCATCAAGAGTTTCGCGGGGTACGGCCCGAAAATGCCATTGTGCCGTCACTTCAAAGGGTTTTACGATGGCTACAGCAAGTGTCTTCCACCGCCAGTGGAATATCTCGATCTCGCGCTGATGGTGCCAAAAGAACGTCCGGTTCTTCCGCGAGAATATGTTTTTCGGCTTCTGCCAGCGCATGCGGGGTCGTCCGGCTTGGCTCAAGAAACCCCTGAGACGCCAGTGGGGCACGGGAGTGCAATTCACGACGCTGGGGGTCAGGGCAAGGGCCACGCGTGCAGCATTCAAACGCAGGTCGCCCCGGATGCTCCAGGGAACACGACAGACCTGCATTCTCCGAGTGCAGGGACTCTCTGGGTCGGTACTCCGAAAATCCTCAAGGTCTTCTGCCAGGGCGACACGTATTCGCTTCAAGATGAGACGAGAAGAGAATCCAGCAGATCGAGGCAAGAGGTCGGAGGGAATGAGGCTAAAGGGATGGACGCAGTCTGCGACAGCTCTGGCGGGGAGCCGACCTCTTCGGAAAAGAAGCCCGAGCGACAGAGGATGGTGCGAGAAGAGGTGGCGGAAGAAACCCGTCACATGAAGAGGATGAAAGGACACTCGGAGCCGATGATTGGCGAGGATGAAGGTGACGTCGGAGAACGTGCCTCGGGAAAGAGGACGCCACGGATGCGTAGCAGAAAACAACAAGGAGTTGAGAAGAGGTTGTCGAAGGAAGAGGGTGCAACGACAAGTAAGAAAGCGAGGAGGCCCGACGGTTTGACCATCCGCGAAGGACAAGCTATGGGTGGAGGAGACTCGGCTCATCCAGGCGCTGCCGCCGCGAGAGAACCTTCAGAGAAATCCAAAAGGAAACTGGCAGCTGAAGAAGGCGATGGCCAGAAAAAACCTCAGAGGAGGAAGACTGCTGAGGCGGCGAGCGGTGGCGAACGGGCTGTCGATACACAGTACGACGCAGCGACAGCGTTCTGGCTCGAATACGAGCGGAACGATGACGGTGAGATCGTGGAGGAGCTCCCCGTTCAACTGCTCATCGACCCCAGGAAGGTCTACGACATCCCACCATGGAAAAGATATTACAACCACCGCAGTCTCAGTCGCGATGGTGTGGAGGACATCAAAGAAGCGATGGTAAGGCAGTTCCACGAGGAAAAGGGGAAGATCTGGACGAAAAACCCTTTGGTTTTGGCACCCATCTACAAGCCGGTGACGCATAGGCCGGAAAAAGCTGAGAGAGTTCACAAAGATGTCTTCAAGCCAGAGGACAAGGATAAGTACTTCTATTACCCTGTCAACGGACAACACACCGTGGCTGCTGTGAAGGAGTTGTACGGTGAGTCAATATTCGAATTGTGGAAGATGCACTCGTGGCCGGCGAGAGTCGTTTGGTTCTCCGACGAAGACTTCGGGGGGTATTTGCAGGTCAGTCTCACGGAGAACACAAGACATAAGATGTCTAAGCAACGTGCACAGAAGGCCGTTTGGTAGTTCTCTTCACCGTAACGTTCTCCACAAAGAAGGTTGCTCGCAAGAACTTCGGCCACTGACCAGGTTTGCCTTCTGTCCACTTGGCTAGGAGATTCGTGATGGTACTGTGTCCCCTTTCCACAGGTGCGTTTGCCTGAGGATGTGCGACAGTAGTATAGTTTGCCACCACGCCATACCCTGCAAGCAAAGTTCGCACCTCATTACAGGTGAACTCTGATCCTCGATCCATCACGAACTCCTTGACGAAACGATAACGCAGATAATACTCTTCGATGCACTTTGCCAAAATTGGGCCAGTCTTCGTACGAATAGCCCGACCGTCCATAAACCAAGTAAGGTTATCCCACGCATCGAAGATGTAGTTACATCCATTTTCCCCAACCGGCATGAAAAGCTGGTCCAAATGTACGACTGCACCCACTTCGCTCTCCAACCTTGGGTGCAGAGGTTCCCCTGGTGTTTGCACCGATCTCTCTTGACAAGGTATTCATGACTGACAGTATTTGATGACCATAGTCAGCATCCCATTCCAATGGTACAATTCCCTTATCTTTGCACACGTGGCACCTACCCCTCTGTGCCCTCCTGCTATACCATCGTGTAGGGCTGCTATAATATTGATCTGCCGGTTCCTCCCACATACAATCCTTTTGGGGTTCCCGACCTGTCACTTTATGAACAAATGGTCATCTCTTACCACATAGAGGTGCCTTATCTCTGCGCCTTGGCACTCGCGTCTCTATCCTTCATCTCACAGGACAGGAGTAGCCCCAACTCGAGGTAGATTCCATCGTATTCTTCTGCACGAAAGGCTTCCTTGATCTCCCCTTCCTCGAACTCATCATCCGGGCTTTCAGGAACAAAGTCCTCACCCTCCATAGGACTAAATGAACACTTCCGGTCAAAGTCTCCTTGCAGAAGCGTATTGGTGAGCAGATACATCCCTCCCATTAACTGCTCATGCTCCTCTACCTGAGTCGGACCTTCCTCCATTGTCCTCACCTCCTCTGCCAGACTGTGTGCACCTGCAAATGCCAACTTCATCATCCAATGGACATCTTTACTCCCCCATGGATCCTCCTCTTGAAAGGGTTTGAGGACCACCCCTTAGGCGCTAGCCGTATGGGGTGGCCGACGCAACTAGGCACTCGTAGGGACCACTCATTTATATGGAGGCGGACGTCTTCTTCTTGATCAAAGAACCCATCAACTGGCGGAGTGTCTTCTATCGACTCCTGATACGTTCCATCCAAGTTGATGCGGCTCAACCCATCTGCTCTGTTCTTGTCCCCTGGAATCCTCTCTAGCTCGAAGTTAAACATCCAAATGTACGTCAACCATCTTGCGACGGTTGGGTCAGATGGAATATAGTTCTTCAGGGAACAGGCGAGCGCAGTGGGGTCCACTCTTAATATGAACCTTCTGCCAAAAACGTAGTTCCAAAATATCCTCAGGCAGTGGAGTACCGCAGGTGTCTCCTTTTTAAACTGAGAGTAGTTTCTCTCAGTCGTATTAAGAGTCCGACTCTCAAATCTCAGTGGTCTCTCCTTCCCTTCAGCATCCGCCTTAGCCAGAACTCCTCCCAAGACAGTAGGTCCCAAGTCCGTCTCCATGATGAATGGCTTCTTCTCAGTGACTTCGTAGTTTGGGGACCTCAACATCAGACCTCCTTCTTTAAACTCTTCCTTTATTCGCTTTACAGCCTCTTCCTGGTCTCCACCCCAAACCCATTCTTGGTCCTGACGCACCAGCTTCCTTAAGTGCTCAGTCTTGCGGCAAAGTTCTTCACAAAGTTTCTCAAAAATCCGCAAATGTCGAGGAAGCTCCTTACGTCCGTTATCGAACCGAAGGGTACTGACCATTCCACGATTTGTCCGTCTTCTTCACATCAGGCTTCCGACCACTCTCATTACAGAAAAAAACCAAAATGATCGCCTCCCTCATACAATGCTCAGACTTCGGGCCGCTTGCTGTGAGGTTATATTCTTCCAATAAGCTCAGGACATGATCAAGGTCCTGGACATGCTTCCAAACAAACCGCCTTAACCCGGGCATCGCTTCACCTTCTTCCCTTTCTTTCGGGCCTTTGACCGCCAAATCATCAATATAGGGTTGGGTGATGTGTGGACTGACCGTCTGCATGGCTGTAATCATATGCCTCTGCACCATTGCCACTGCATTCGTCCATCCTTGAGGGGCTACATTCATATAAATTAGCCCTCTGGGCGTATGCATCGCCGTCACAGGCCTGTCTGGCGGGTATACAGGAAACTGGTCATACCCAGAGTAGAGGTCTATAAGCGAAATTATAGGCCTTCCTACGCATGACTCTGACAATGTATCCGCGTTTGACAATCCTCCCGCATCCCGCACTGTCACGACATTTAGCCACTGTAAATCCTGCACCCACCGCAACGTCCCATTTGGCTTAATGAAGCAAAACCAGGGGGAAGCGTACGGTCCGCTGGAATAGTCGGCAACATTCGTGCGCATCTTGCCATCCAGGTAGTCCACCACCATCTTCTCCTCGTCTGGGTAGGATACCGCGCGCCTCTCAGATTCCATGGCTCGTGTGGGACTGTGTGGATCCGAATCATTGGGATCTTGTCCACATCCAGCCTCCCACGCTGATCATCACTAAATGCGTACGCGCGGTGCCTCTTCTTCATCAACCCCACCATCAGAGCTCTCTCTTGGGGCGAAAGGAAGTCGGGCTCTCTAATTATCAGCCCCCCTTCGTTCTCATCGTTGATACGACACAGACCACTGGCTGCCTGCTCCCGCATGCGCCGTATCAACCCTCGTTCCCGCTCGTAATAGGCCTCCTCGTCTTCAGTAACGAGCACGGGAACTGGGCGACACTTCTTATCTATCGTTTTGTATTGCCTTTGGGAGCCCTGCTCAAGTCGTCCCCTAAAAATGGTCGGCTTGCCGTTTGTGCCTGGGCCATCGCAGGGTCTCCCCTTCCGCCTGGAAGCCGATAAACCAGCTCCACCTCTCCCACCTGAGGGCTCTCCAAAACTTGCTCCCTCAGCGCCCTAATGGCTTCCGGATCTGCCATGTCGTGCGCTGCCACCGCTTCCATAGCCTTATTTACATCAGTAAGGCTTAGCTTCAGCAACTCGGCCCCTCTTTCCTCCTCGGGCACCTCCCAAAGCCTCCTCCACTCGTTCTCAGATTCCTCAAAAGTGAACGAGCTGAGGTTGGGTCTGTTTCTCCCACTCCCTGGTCCCGTATTCCAGCAAGTGATGACTTCATAATTCCCACAAGCCGGATCGCACAGGAGTAGGATCATCGTCCTTACGTGCTTATTAAAAATCAGGGTCTCTGTACGACACAAGAACGATCTCCCTAGAAGGATGGAGTGGTCTACATCCGGCATGACGAAGAAGCAGGTCCTCGCCCGTACCTTCCCAATTTCTATGATCACATTTGATGCCGTACCACAAAAGGCCGCCTTGCAGTTGGCACCATGAAGCATGTCGTGATCCGCGCGGTCAATGTCCATTCCCAATATCATTGCTTCCCTTTCCCTAATGATGTTCATCTCCGCGCCCGTGTCCACCATCCCGGTACACTTCTGGTCCTTTACCACCAAATCCACCTGGCTACACACCACACACTTCCAATCCATCCTTTTCCCTGCTTCAGTCCACACTACCTCCCTTGGGAGGATCATACTCAGATGGACATTGGGCACTAGCCTTCACGAGAGCCGCCCCTTCAGCCCGTCACGGAGCCTTGGTGCTGAGGCCAAAATATCCTTTAAGTTCATCAGGTCATTATGACCTTCCAGGAGCCTATCTACCATCCGCTCCACATCGAAACCCTCTTCCAACCGAACTGCGTACTTCTTCTTCTTAGGTACGCTGTCAGGGGCTTGGCTCGGCTTCCTCTTGAGCCCCTCTCTTCTTGGCCCTTAGCTCCGTCGGTCGATCCTCCTCTTGCCGGAGCCTCTCGTCCTCTTCGTCGTCATCCCCCTCATCCTCTCCTGGGACTTCCACCACCTCCTTCCTACGTCCTGGCTCAGGCTCCCTTCGAGGGGGTACCTGACTGGGCGCCCGGTTGGACTCGTGATTGGTTCCAGCCTTGTTCTGGCTCCTGGTCCACGCTGCCTGTGGCACTCTTCCATGCGACGTGGGGGGCCTGTAGGTCATACCCGACCTAGGGCCCGACCCCACAGTCGCAACCCTTGGGCACCCCTGCTGCCCCGACGAGGATTCGGGCCCGGAGTCATAGAGGAAGACTCCGGGGAGGTTGGCCTCCCACTCCCGGGTCTCGTCACACAAATCGTGCAGCTTCTGCTGGTATTTACCCATCTCCCTAGTAGGTCCTCCATTTTCTCCAAGATAGTTACGGCCGACCCTCTTTCGCCTTCTTGCCCCTCATCATCCGACTCAACGACTATCGGCTCCTCCTTTATAGTCCCTGCCTTTAGTCGCTAAGTTACCTCCTCACTTTCCCCCACAATCTCCTCGACCCCTATGGCCGGGTCCTCTCCCTCCTGCCACATCCTAAACATGGCTGGGAGCGCCGGCCCTGCCGCCGCTCGCCTCTGGGCCTCCCGCTTGACTCCGCCGGGTGTCTTCGGGTCCATGTTCTTTCCAAATTTATCATATATATCTCCATCCATGTTGGTGGAGATCAACCCGGAGAGCTCGTTGTCCCGCCGTCCTTGACAAAATCGTATAGTTTGCTCTTGGTAGCCACAATGCCAGCAGGTGGCATTCCGCCAATCAAAGCGGGGCCTTCCATACCCTTGGCCCCCTTCCGGGCCACCTTGGTCCTGACCCCCTTGCCCATTCCATCCACCCCCACGACCTCCGCCGTTCTTTCCTTGGCCTCGGCCACCGCCTCCTCGACCTCCTTGGCCTCGGCCTCCATTGCCCTGTCCGCCTTTCCTGGTCATTCCCAAGGCGCAAATTCACAATGAAAGACAATGCCACCCAATTGCAAAAGAAATGAAAGCACTTGCAAAGAGATAGAGACCAGAGAAGAGAGAGAGAAGAAGAAGAAGAAGATGTACAC